TTATATTTAAAATTTTAAAATTTTTAACATATAAAAAATTTTATATATGATTAACTTATTATAAAAAATAATTTTTTTAAAAAAAGCAAAAAGAAAATAACATGCCTTTTATTTGCATCATCTTTATGTGCAATAATATCTATACACTTAAAATTTATATCAAATAAAATAAATTGTCTTTCTTAAAAGAACTACCATATTTAGTCCGGGACTCAAATTAATTGAGTCTAGGCCCAATAATTGATTTTTTTATTATTATTCTATTTTATTTCATGTTTTTACTTTTATTACTTTATCTATATATACGTTTTTATCTTATTTATCTTCTTATATTTTATATTTAATTTATTCTAATTTATTTATTTAGTTAATTAATTAATTATTTTTTAGCTTGTTTATCTTTTCTGATTTATTGTTTATCTTTAGCTATTTTAATTTATCTCATTAGTTTTTCTTTTCTTTTTCTTTCATTATCTAATTAATTCAAAAATAAAAAATAAAAGAATAAACCAAAAAAATTAGGTTGGAAATTTGGCTTGTGATAATCTTCATCAGGAAATTCTTGAAATTAAGTGGTAATCTTTGGATTTTTAAATTGAATTGGAAGTAATATGAAATTTTACCAATCTCCCCCTATAAATAAGACCTTTAATCAATAAAAAAGACACATAGCAATCATAGATACTATCAAGGAAAAAAGAAAATTGATCTAGCAATGGGAGGTTTCAAATCCAAAGAAATTTGTTTTTAGAGAATTTAGGTTTTTTTTTTGGAAATGATTTGGTCTTAATTGGAAAGGATTAGTGTGATTGAAAGATCAAGGAGATCAAAATGTATTAGATTGAAGTTTTAGGAATTTTTGTTGTTTTTCTTTTTTTTTTTGAAACTTTTTGGGAAATTCTGAAAAAGCTTGAATTTTTCAACCATATTCAAAATCTCCAATGACTTTTCTATAAGAATTTTTAGATTTCGAAAAAGGTCCTAGTTTTCAATCAAGTTTTTGGCAATTAGTGAATTTTCCAACAAGCGTTTGTAGAATTTGGCAGCTAGAGAATGATTCTAGAAAGAAAAGCATAAGAGAAGAGCAAGAAAAAAAAAATCTAAAAAAAATTATTTCACTTTTATACCGTGCAAAACGACGTCGTTCGCACATTTTAAATTATTGAGGATCCATGTGTTGCATCGAGGACTTGACCCAATATGGGTGCACAATCAGCAAACCTATTCCCAATAGCCATAATCTAAGCCAACCAGCCATCAAGTCGAGTCTTAAGCCGTATCATCTTAAGCTGTTTTCTTTGCTTGCAACTAAGCCACAATCTAAGTCGAGTCGAGCCGATTCTTTTTTTATATATATATTTTTTTATTTTTTATTTTTGCTTTTATTTTTTTATTTATTTGTTTTATTTTATTATTTATTTATTTTTGTATTAAATTTTTTAGAAAAGTTAAAGGGAGTTATTCTAAAGAAATATAAAATAAAACTTTAATAAAATTTTGATAATAAATAATAATTATCAAAAGATGAAAATTGTTAGAAGTTACAAATGGATAATTTTTAAGAACTTTCTAGGTGAGAGATTTTTCTAAATTTGACACAAATAAAGAAAAATTTTAAATAAAATTTTAATAACAATAATCAGTATTTGTTTTCAAAATAAAAAAATAAATAAACTTTATAAATTTTAGGAATGAGTGGTGAGAGAATTTTCTAAATTTGACATAAATGAAGGAAAATTTTAAATCAAAATTTTATAACAATAATTAGTATTTGTTTTCACAATAAAAAATAAATAAACTTTATAAAATTTTAGGAATGAGTTAATAATTATCTTACGATGAGATTTTTAAAAATTTAAAATAGTCAATTTTTTAAGAATTCTCTAAGTGAGAAATTTCTAACTCGAATGGTAAAATAATTTAAATGAAATTTTAATAAAAATAATTGCATTAATTTCTAAACAAAATTTTAAAAAATATATATATAACTTATAAATTTGCTGAAAAATATATGACAATTATCTAATGATAAAATCTTAAGAAAATCACAAATAATTGAATCTTTAGAAAATTTTTAGGTAAAAGTCTTTTCTAAATTTAAATCAATTGGTAGAAAAATTTGGATGATATTTCAAACAATAATTGTCATTTTATTTCCTTTCTAAAAATTAGGAAATAAATAAGGAATAAAATTCAATAAGAGTCTAAATTCTAATAAAGGCATTTCTAAATTTGGTCCAAATATTAAAAATTTTATATATATATTATAAATAAAACTTACAAAATAAAGAATAAATTTTAAGGATAAAATTCTTAATAATCACAAATTGATGATTATCTAAAAAAATTTTAGATAAAAAAATATTTCTACTTCTAGTCTATATGATGGAAGAATTATATATGTTTTCAATAAAGCAAAAATCTAAATAAAAAATAAATAATTAAGTTTTTTTTCGATGACGAAGCCTCTAAAAGATATGAAATTCTTGAATACTTTTTAGATATGAAAATATTTTTAAAAATTATGTTAGATTGATGGAAAAATTTTGGAAGTTATTTCTAATATTTAAATGTTAAAATTTAAAAGAAGACTATTAAACCAAGATATTTAGGATAATTTAAAATTAAGTGATATCATCTTTTGAATGAGCGTGTATGAGTATTATAACTTTCTCTATATATAACTGAACTCCTGAGCTTAGTTTTAAAATGTAGATCAAAACCTATTCTTTTAAAGATCTATAGTTAAGTATAAGACTTTCTCAAAAAAATAGATTAATTAGGTAATCAATCGTATTTAGATAAAAAAAATTAGTAGCGATTTTTTTAATTGTGTATAATAATAGGTTTATGGATCTATACATTATGATAAAAACAAAAACATATATATTATCGAATGATGAATTAAATGATAAAAAAAGTATATGCATACTTTTACTTTTTTAATCTTGTTCAAAATATTGTATACAATATGAAAAAATTTTAAGAAATGTGTGAAAAAAATAAATTAAAACAAATATTAATTTTCATATGAATATATCTTAAAAAAAAGAAAGATACAAATTGAAAAAATAAATTGCAATAATAATAGAATTCAAAAAAACTAAAAATCAAAAAATAAAAAATGATATAACATATTATATTTATAGTCTTTAATTTATAGAATAACACTTGGATAACATTTATGATTAAATAGATAATTTTCAAATTAATTTTAAAAAAATTAAAGGATATAATAAGTGATAAAAATTAAATCAAAGTTCTTACCTATTTTTTAAATAAAAAATTGATAGCAAAAGTTAAAATAGATATAGAACCTATTATTTAGAGATTTAATATGAAAAAACTATTTAAATTTTTAATATTTTATGTAAATTTTGAAAACATAATTTTTGTTTGATACAAATTAAGATAAAAAAATATAGTGAATTTCTTTAAAGATTCGGATAAACTTATTCTTTATAGTTTTAAAATATGTTAAAGGTTTTCATAATTAAATAATTTATAAAAGAGGGTTATCTAGTAAAAAATTAAAATTACTCAAGTAAAATTCATATCTTAAAATTTTAATTTTTTTAAAAATATTTTATATTAATTTGATTTGTAACTATAATTTGAATAAATTTAAAATTATTCAATTTGTAATTAAAAAAAAATTATCCTACATATCATCTAAAAAAATTATTCACATAAATATTTATGTGATAAATCTTATCATGCATTTATGCATGCTATAATGTAATAATATATATATATATATATAATATAATTGGAATAACTCCCCATTGTTCATTCTAACAACAAAGAATTTAGAAACTTGAAGCTATCATCAATTGGGGAATCCAATCGGCAAATCCCATTCCCATTTATCGACATCCAAGTCAAGCTTGAATATATAAAATCTATATAACAATAATTGTCATTGACTTTTTGCTTATTCTGTCATTCTAAATAAAATTTTGATGGTTAGAACTGAGAATTAAGGTTATTATATTACCAAAAAAGTAAATAAAATTATTAGTATATATTGAGTTTGAGAAATTATCAATTTATATATCGTAAGCACTTTTAATTATCGTAACTCACACAATTCTTGCTATTATTATTGGATAAATATTATTGGGTACAGCTCTTAGATATCCAAATCAAGTACTGATCTTCAATCTAAGATAAAAACTAGCAACATTATATTATATAATAAAAACAAACACATAGTCCCAAAGCCATAAGGTTAAAGGCAAACAATAATTATATGATGATGCAGCCGACGTTGGTTTTTTTATTAAAGTGTAATTCGGTGTCAATAGAAATGTGGACAGGATCAAAAGGGAGGAACGACATTCCTTTGTATAGACAAAACTGAACACTCGACAACAAAAAGAGAGTTAGGTTCACTCCAATCAGGTGAGCTTGAACAACTATGGAAGACTTTCTGAGTCAAACATTATAGGTTATCAATTAATTAAAATATTTCAATCAAAGTTCATTTTAAACAGTTTATATTTTTTTTCATAAAAAAATCACAGTTAAAAAATAAATAAAGAGATTGTTTTTGTTTGAACTTTAAACTATAAAATAATATTATTAATTAACTGCAAAGAAAACCCGACATAAATAAAAGTTTGTAGAAGAAGACTTAGAGAAAAATAAATTATGAAAATAATGTGAAAACTTCTCAACTTTATGTAATTCTTTGAAGAAAGTGACATTGGAATTCTATCAACATCAAATCAGATCTACATAAAAGGAAATATCAAACCTAAAGAATCCGACCACCCAATCATCGGCGCCATGATTTTGCTTTAAAATCATATTACCGTGGGAGCCGGGGTAAGCAATGTGCTTGACAAGTTGGAGCCTTATGGGGCCTAAGAGAGAGTAATTCAACTCCAACCATACGATACGCAATGACTTGATCAACCCAAAATCCAAGTCAAGTCAATTTCAGTTTAGATGAGACAATAAGATAGTAAAACATAGCACATTATAATTAATTTTGGGTTCTGTTGAAACTAATGTCTTTAGAATTATTCAAAGTCAAGCTTGCCTTATAAGACCTGCAATTGGTGGCAATCCTGGTCCTGCAAAAACGTTTAGACTTGATGTTTTAAACATTTTAGATAACCAAATCGATTCCATTTTTAGAATCGTTCTTTTGTTTCTAGCTCTAGAGCCAATGGCTTCAATGGCCAAGCAACTACACTTTGTGTTAATCCCACTCATGGCACAAGGTCATATGATTCCGATGGTTGACATGGCCAGGCTTCTTGCAGAGCGAGGGGTGATTGTAAGTTTGATCACTACTCCCCACAATGCGTCAAGATTTGACACAGTCATCCAACGAGCTACGGAATCAGGGCAACAGATCCGGCTAGTGAAACTTCCATTTCCATGCCAAGTAGTGGGACTCCCTCTCGGATGTGAGAATCTTGACACTTTATCTTCCAGGGACCTACTGAAAAAGTTCTACAATGCACTTGGTATGTTGCAAGAACCATTGGAACAATTTCTTGAACAACAAAAGCCGCTTCCAAGCTGCATAATATCAGACAAGTGTCTTTCCTGGACCTCAAAAACTGCTCAAAGGTTTAATATTCCTAGGATTGTTTTTCATGGGATGGGCTGCTTCTCATTGTTGAGCTCTCATAATGTGAAGCTACATAAGGCTCATCTTTCTGTTGCTTCAGATTCGGAACCCTTTGTGGTGCCAGGACTTCCACAAAAGGTAGAGATAACAAGGGCTCAACTTCCAGGATCATTTGTTAGTTTGCCTGACTTAGACGATGTTCGCAACAAGATGCAAGAGGCTGAAATGACTGCTTTCGGAGTTGTGATAAACAGCTTCAATGAACTAGAGCATGGATGCGTCAAGGAATACCAGAAGGCTATTAAAAAAAAGGTTTGGACCATTGGACCAGTTTCTTTATGCAACAGAATAAACTTGGACAAGTTTGAAAGAGGAAACAAATCATCAATCAATGAGCAAAAATGCTTGAAATGGCTCGACTCAATGAAACCAAGGTCAGTTATCTATGCTTGCCTTGGTAGCCTATGCCGTCTAGTTCCAGCACAGTTGATAGAACTCGGGTTGGGTCTAGAAGCATCAAAACAACCATTTATTTGGGTAGTCAAAACAGGTGATCAAAGAGCTAATGACGAGTTAGAAAAGTGGTTTTCAAAGCATAAGTTTGAGGAAAGGATCAAAGGAAGGGGACTTTTGATCAAGGGTTGGGCTCCTCAAGTTCTTATTTTATCCCATCCTGCAATAAGAGGATTCTTAACTCATTGCGGTTGGAATTCAACTATAGAAGCCGTCAGCTCCGGGGTGCCAATGATAACATGGCCTCAGTTCTCAGAACAATTCTTTAATGAAAAACTCATTGTTCAAGTTCTAAAGATAGGAATTCGGGTTGGCGTTGATGTTCCTGTTAGATGGGGTGAAGAAGAGAAACTCGGGGTGTTGGTCAAGAAAGAACAAGTTGAGAAAGCCATAGATATGTTGATGAAAGGAGGAGAAGACGGCGAAAAGAGAAGAGTAAGAGCAGGAGAGCTAGCAAAAATGGCAAGAAAGGCTGTGGAAAATGGAGGATCATCCTACTTTAACATGTCACTCTTGGTGCAAGACATTTTGGAGAAAATCACGATCAATAATACCCAAACTGGTTTAATTAACAGTTTGTAAATTAATCAGGAAGTTGGATGTTATCTTTTCCTTTTTCCCGAAGGCATGCATTTGAATGTATCACAAGTAATCTGTACGAAATTTCTATTATAGATACCTTCACGGCACAAACTTGGAATATTCATTTTAATTTCAGCACCAATTAAGAGAATAGACTTCTAAAGAAATTTCCTTCTCCTATATTGTTTAGGGTTTGAGCTTATTAGGCAAAGTCCTTATAATTAGTAAAGAAATTTCCTAAGAGTAGACAACACAGTAGCATTAATATTTATTAATTCCATTTAAATCAATAGGGCAATGATGCAAGGGCATATGTGTTGTCATTGGAAAATTACCAAAAAAAAAAAAAAATCAAAGTAAAAAATCAATTATTAAGTCAAAATCAATTAGGAGTATTCAATTCAATATGTAATATTATAATAAATATATTATAATTAAAATTTAGAATTATGTAAAGTTTATTTAAATATTATATGGAATCTACAATTATAAATGATGTATTATTACATAATTTTTAATTATAATTAAACAATTACATATTATAATACAAAAATTGCAAAATCAGTTTGGCAAACCCAAGTAATAGCTTCATTTATTAGTGTTGTGTGCGTAGATAGAGAGAGGACTTTTAAAATGAAGTCTTCCTTTTTCCTAGAATGACAAGCATTTAGAAATTGTAAAGGAATTGTTTTAATTGTGATGCAAGAAGCACTTGATGGGCTTATCGAACTAAACTCATCCAACTCCGGGTGGGGAGCCCGAAGGCCATGTCTTTGAACAAAAAAAAAAAAGAACTCATGTCTCTTAGAAAGCAAGCCCGATCAAGAAGCAGAAAGAAAAGCCCGTGACCTGGAAAAAAATTTTGAATGAAAAACAAATATATGGTTGAATAAATTATTATGAGCAAATTGACAAGTAGAATTAAGTCATTTATGAAAGTAATTCAATTTCAAATTTGTGGACCATGATTTTCAATTGCCAATAAATTAAAGCATTTTAAGATAAATAATACGGATTAAATAAAAATTTTTAAATAAAAACCAAGATATTACCATTTAAAATTTAATAAATAAATCATGAGATTCCTAAATAACTTAGATACTTTTATCGATCAATAATTGCTTAATAGTTACACTTGCATATTAAAAAATGGTATAAGTCAAAATTTAATTATTCATTAAATTATACCATCAATTAATTATTGAAGAATTATAAATCTTGAATCCTAATTTCATACCAACTAATTAGGTAAATTTAAATTTATAAGCATATCTTCGGGAAAAGATGTGAAACAATTAAGAATAAAAAAGAAAAAAAATTTGATTAAATCAATTTAGTATTACGATTCAAATGCGCTTATTACAATTGGAAAGATTAAATTATTTTACTGAACATCAAATAAAAATATCATAAATCATATACTAAATTTAATATGTGAAATTTATAATTTTTTAAATTTTATCTAATATATTTTCTTCCAAACCAATTTTAGTAGGTTTATTTCTGTCAAATTTAATGAATTTATGTGAAATTATTTTTTTTATAATTTTATATAAATTTAAACTTAAACAATAAATATATATATATATTTTATCATTTGAATCAATCATTTATGTAAAATTATAATTTTAAATCACTAAATGTTGGCAAAATTGTCGGTGTATATCCTATTCACAACTTTTAATAATATCTTTGTAAAATGTAAATAATGGCGGCGAAGTTTTCTATGTCCTAGGGAAGTTCCGTGCCAACTGCAAACTCATCCTCAATCTAGCCGCCATATTTTATAGGGGTGATTTTTAGTCACGCTATCATTTTTTTGGCACCTATTTTTTAAAATTATCTTTAAATAGAATTATTTAATTATTTTTTATTTTAATTTTAAAATTTAATATTTTTTTAATAAATTATAAAATTTATTAAATATGCGATTTGATAAATTAGATAATTTATCAGATTTTTATATTAGATAAATTAAAAAAATTAATTGAGAAAAATATCTTGAAGAATTTCTACAACATCCAAAAAAAATAATACAAATTATTTCAAATAACAATAATTTTATTTACAATTAATAAAAAAAATTATGCATGTGGATTTTAAAATTTCTTATTGATTTCAACATTTTGAGATAAAAACTTTTAAATTATCGGATACATGAATTCAAAAATTTTTAGAGTGCGTTTGATTCAAAGGAATCTATAATTTTTGTTGTTTGGATCTTGATGGTGGATATTTGTTTATCACATTTTATTAAGTGGAATTCAATTACGGGAGAAAATATCAAATTCTTAATAATTCTCAAAGTTTTGGAATCAGAAACTCACGTCTCTTTGTGGTATTTTAAGATTTTAAAGGAAAAAATTGTCTTATTTTCAAATTTAACTTAAATAAAAAATTATCACATAACTATTAAAGTTGTCTTATTTTTAAATTTAACCTAAATAAAAAATTATCACATAGTTGTTACTTTTTTAAAAAGTATGTTTGAATAAAAAATTATCAAATAGTCATTACCTTTTTGAAAAGTAGTTTAAAAACTTTTAAACTATCGGATACATGAATTCAAAAATTTTTAGAGTGCATTTTATTCATGAAAATCTATAAATTTTCTTTCCGAATCTTGATGGTGGATATTTGTTTCTCACATTTTATTCAATGTAATTCGATTATGAGAGAAAATATCAGATTCCCAACAATACTTAAAGTTTTAGAATAAAAAACTCACATCTTCTTATGATATTTTAAGATTTTGAAGAGAAAAGTTATCTTATTTTCAAATTTGACAAATAAAAAATTATCAAATAGTCATTATCTTTTTGAAAAGTATGTCTGAGAGTAACTGGAACTCAGTTGTAGGTTTTTGTCAGTGGCATTTTAATTTTTTTTATATAGCAATTAAGACGTTTCAATGAAGAAATGTCTTAATTAATGATCAATTTGCGTGTTTGTGTGAAGAAATGCCTTAATTAATCTTTTATTAATTTTATTTTTACTCTTGAGGACCATATTATAACATGAATGATTTTCAGTCACAATATAATAAAGATTGAAGTGTTTATCAATTAATGTGTTTATATGGAAAAACACCTTAATTGGTTATCAATTAAAATGTTTCTTCGTACAAATGCTTTAATTGTTGCATATTAAAATTTTATTTTTTCTCTTAAAGATCATGTTCTAACAATATAAACGTTGTAATGTTTAATCATGAAGTAAAAAAGCTTATATTTTATATATCAAATAAGGTGTTTGTATATATGGAATGCCTTATTTGATGTCTTCATTATATTTTAATAACTCATACGTTTCTGATTTTTATTTCAACATATCTCAGCTCATAGCATTTAATTCTCTCTTTGAACCAATTTCAGCTTCGACATTCATCATTTAATCTTTGTCCTATTAAGTTTATCTTTGTTTTTACTCAAAATGGTGTGTATCTTTCATATTAATCTTTTTATCTTATTTGCATTATTTGTTACCTTCAATTTTTTTTTTCATATTTGTAGATGTCATTTAGATATAAATTTATGTTTCTAATATAAACGTTTTTTTGTGGTTTTTTTGTTTTAGCTTCTTCATCCAAAAATGTCTTGTTGTAGATTTTTATTTTCTTTAATGGTGCTTGATAGATTCCATGTACCATATGCCAAGTTTTGCTTTTCATTTATGTTTTCATCTTTAATGATATATTGTCTTCTAAATAATTATGACTAGTTTATCACTAAAAACGAAGATGCAATTTACTACATTGCTTATGATACATTTGAACCAGATGAAGACTTTGTTGTATGTGTTATATTTTATTGTTGTAACTTTATTACATATGAACATTAGAAAATAACTTAGACTATCTTATGGTGGAACATCTTATGATAAGCTACATATTAGAGAGTTAAACTTAATGCAATGGTCTTTGAGAGTGATAGACAGTGTGTAGATAATACTAAAATGGACAGAAAAGCTTTTGCAAAATTATGTTATTTGCTTAAAATAGAAGAAGGGTTACAGTCATATAGACTTATGTCAATAGAAGAACTAGTTATTAACTTCCTTTACATTATAGCTCATCATACAAAAAATAAAGTTATAAAACATCAAGTGGTCAGATCTAAAGAGATAATTAGTAGATAATTTTATTTTGTGTTTAATTCTGTTTTAATATTGCATACACTATTATTTAAAAAACCTAAACCAATACCCAAAAATTCAATAGATAATAGATAAAAATAGTTCAAGGGTTGTTTTGGTGCCTTATATGAGACATACAACAAAATCAATATAAACACAGTTGACATGCCTAGATACAGGATTAAAAGAAATGAAATTGTTACCAATATCCTTCATGTTTGCACTTTAGATATGTAATTCATATATATTCTATCGAGATGGAAAAGTTTTACAGTAGATGGTAGAGTGCTAAATGATGTCATTACACGTAAAAATGGGTTGAGAATCTTACAAGGTATTATTTTTATTATGTTCATGTTATGTTAATAATGAAACACCTTTTTTTCATATTATTAATGTTGTTGAGTGGATAACAGGTAATTATTATTTGTGTAATGTCAGATACATAAATGGAAAAGGATTTTTGGCACTATATAAAGGTCAACGATACCATCTTAGTGATTGGAGGGCAAGACTTCAACCAATCACCTCATAGAAATACTTCAATATAAAATACTCTCAAGTAAGAAATTGTATTAAAAGATGTTTTAGTATATTGAAAACTAAATGGGCAACTTTAAAAGAGAAGTCATTTTATTTAATAAAGATACAGTGTAAAATTATTTTTGCTTGTTGCTTTTTCCATAATTTTATTAGGTTTGAGATAGTTTTTGACTCTATTGAAGGTGATATTCTTGAAGAAAGTCTTAGCCAACCAGATGAATTTGAACATCAAGATTTGATTATGCATGTTAAGCCATATGATTTTTAGACTTAGTTTATAGATAATCTAACTAATGAGATATTCATCAATTGGTTACAGTTCTGGAGATAAGAACATTATAATAATGTTTTGTATGTTATAACGTTTGCTCAATTTATTTTATTGTATGTATCATATTGTTGAGTGTAGAATTTGCTTTATATCAATGTTGAATATATATTTACATTATATTTTTTTTTATTCTTTAGTGTTTAATGTATGTTACAATTTAGAGTACACACTTTTTTGTTTTTTTTTCATGTGTATTCATTTATTTCATTCATTTGATAGGTTTTT